TGATTATATGTTCTAGACATTCAGATTGTGTCCTCATCCAAGGGGACGAGCACCAGATACGCATCTTTAAAATGGCGCTTCTTTGTGCATGAAGACACAATCATGGCTGTTTAATGCAGAGCCAGAGTGATGATGACTATTCAACACCTCCTCTACTTGCTGTCTTCCTAGCCTTATCACGACTTTTCCATCAAAACCAATGTTCCATTAGATTCTTCCTGTACTAATTATACCATTTATCCAAGCTTCATTCTCTTCTTCCAAGAATAGTCAGGAAACTTCAAATAGGGAAAATGATTTCGTTCCATTGAAATGCAACCATCAAGCGAGAAACAAAAGTGCTCCATCATCTGTTGTAAATTATGTAAATGGTTTTGCAGTCTTACTGGTATTATGTATTATTATTGCACCTATTTGTTTGTATATGTTCCACAAGTTAATAAAATCTTGATCTTTGAGTTTATTGGCTTTGTGTTGGATATTAGTAATGTATATAGTTCGTTCAAGTTATTGTTGTCCAAACAAAGATGCTTGAGTTAACGAAATTTTGATTAATTAGTCTAAAGCAATACTCGATCGAGGACAAGTTTTATACATAATTTATAGATACTATTTGGATTTCTTTCTTTCTTTCTTTTTATTTCCATTACAACTCCGCCTATATTTATAACTAGTCCCAAGACTGGTAAAGGAGGAGAGTTATGTTAGGCCATCAATAGTTAACGTAAAACTTTGTTGAATCTATTATAAACAAAGACAATAGACATTATAATGCTAATGGTAGGTTGTTGTTCATAAGTAACACGCTGCATGGCTCAAGTATAGTGATGAGTTAGAGCCATTGCATTGATTATCGGATGTGGTGTTAAATGAGTAAGGGCTAACGCGTCATTTTGGACGTGTGTGGTTAAAGAGGTTAGTCCATGAGAGCAAAATTAGATTTGGTACTTGGAATGTTAAAATATTAAATTGTAAATCTATAAAGGTTGTAGGGGTTATGATTTAAAGGAAAATCAATATCCTATGCCTGCAAGAAACAAAATGGCGTGGAGAAGAAGCTAAGGATATTCAAGGTTTCAAACTTTAGTATACAGGAAAAGTAAGCATACACAATGGAGTAGGCATCATTATTGATAAGGAGTGGAAGAAGAATATTGTAGAAGTTAGCAGAATTAGAGACATAATTATTTCCTTAAAAATGATAGTTGGATGTGAGACTGTTAATATTGTGAGCACTTATGCTAGTGTTAAGGAATTATTTTGGAGGACTTGGAGGGATTGATTTAACATATATTATAGAGTGAAAAGATTTTCATTGGAAGAGACTTTAATGGGCATGTCAAGAGAGAGGTTGATTAGTATGCATGGGTGCATGGTGGTTTTGGTTTTGGAGAGCTAAATGATGAAAGACAAACTCTTCTTGATTTTTTGTTGGCGTATGATTTTAAAATTGCCAACACTTGTTTTAAGAAGAGAGATGAACATATCATCACTTACAAAAGTAGAGCCTCAAGGTTAAAGATTGATTTTCTTTTGGTTAAGAACACAGATAGAAGACTCTGTAAAAATTGCAAGGTGATTTCGGGGAATGCTGTACCGACACAACATAGGGTCCTTGTCCTTGATGTGTATATTATAAGTAAAATTCAAAAACGTTAACAAGTAATAGCACTAAAGATTAGGTGGTGGCAATTAAAAGGTGAGAGGCAAGATATTTTCAAGCAAAATCTTTTGAATAAAGAAATTTGAAAATCTCAAGGAAGTGCTAACATCATGTGGGAGGATATGGCTAAAAAGATAAGAAAGGTTGCAAAAGTAGTTTTGGAAGAATCAAAAGGTTCTAGTCCAAGAGATAAAGAGTTTTGATGGTGGAATAATAGTGTACAAGACAAAATCAAATATAAGAAGAGCTGCTTTAAAGCCATATTTTTGTGTAACAATGAAGAAAGTTGGGAGAGGTACTGTACGACTAAGAAGAAAATTTAAAAAAATGTGAGTAAAGCTCGTTTTAAAGCTTTTAAAGAATTTTATAAGAGCCTTAAAACGAAGGAAGGAGAATGAAATATTTATAAGATTGCTAAGAGTAAGGAAAGAAAATCTAAAGATCTAGAACATATAAGGTGTATAAAGGATGAAAAGGGAAGAATTTTAGTTACAGATGATGAAATTAAAAATAAATGGGAGACTTACTTTTTCAAACTTTTCAATGATGGAGAGGATTCGTCTAGTAACTTAGAGGATTTAGTAACTCATGAAGGAAAACAAAATTTGTTATTCTATTGAATAACATATGATAAGAAGGTCAAGGAAGTTCTTAGAAAATGACAAATGATAAAGTTAAAAAACTTGATTGTATATCTATTGAAATGTAGAAATGTTTAGATGAGTGGAGGAGAAGTACATTAATTCCTATTTATAAAAATAAAGGAGATATTCAAAATTATACGAACTATAGAGAGATTAAACTCATGGGCCACACAGTGAAATTGTGGGAGAAAGTAATTCAGCATAGGTTAAGATTGGAGACAAGTATTTCTAAGAATCAGTTTGGTTTATGTCAGGTAGATTGACTACAGAGGCGATTTATCTATTAAAGGGATTAATAGAAAAGTATCGTTGTAAAGATAAAGATTTACACATGGCTTTTATTGATTTGGAAAAAGCTTATAACTGTATACCAAGAAAAGTGCTTTGAAAAGCCTTGAAAAAGAAGGGAGTATGGATTGCTTATATTAAAGTCATACAAGATATGTATGAGGGGGTAAAAACTAGTATAAGAACAACTAGTGGTCAAATAAAGGACTTTTCTATAAAGATTGGATTACATCAGGGATTATCTTTGAGTCATTATTTGTTTAACTAGATCTTAAATGTTTTGATGGAACATATTCAAGGGAAAATTCCTAAATGTATGCTCTTCGCAGATGATATAGTTTTTATAGTAGAGACTAGACAAGAGATTAATTGTAAACTTGAGTTATGGAGGAGGACATTAGAGTTGAAAGATTTCCATCTGAGTAGGAGTAAGACAGAATATTTATATTGTAAATTTGGTAAGAGACTAGTCGACAGTAATTTGGAAGTGAAATTAGAAGATCAAATTATATCTCAAGTGAAAAAGTTTCGATATTTGGAAGCCATTATTCAAAATGATGGCGAAATCAGTGGGAATATCTCACATAGGATTTAAGCTAGATGGTTTAATTGGAGAAAAGCTAAAGGAGTTATTTGCGACTGTAAGGTGCCTAATAAACTTAAAGGAAAGTTTTATCGTACTGCTATCAGACCAACTATATTATATAGTAGTAAATGTTAGGCTTTAATAGGACAACAAGAGCATAAAATTGGAGTAGCAGAGATGAGAATGTTATGATGGATTTGCGAACATACACGTAAAGATAAAATTCAAAATGAGTACGTATGCGAAAAAGTGAGGGTAGCACCTATTAAGGAAGAAATGATAAAAAATCATTTGAGATGATTTAGGCTTATACAAAGAAGACAACAGGAGGTACCAGTCAGAAGAGCAGAATATATAACTTTAGGCCCTGTTAAAAGGGGTAGAGGAAGGCCTAAGAGAATACTCTTGGAAGTTGTTGAACACAATCTCTTAATTAATAATATTCCTAAAAGTTTGATAAATGATAGAGTATAATGGTGTGTTGCAGTCCATGTAGGCGACCCCACCTAGTAAGATAAAAGCTTGTTGTTGTTGTTTTTATTTCCATTACACATGATGTTGACATGATAAAAAGTTCATAGTTGTTTAGACATCTTTGAATGCCTTTTTAATTGTGTAAGATACAGTGGTTCTTACATTTATATTGTGGGAAGAGTATAGCCTATTTGATTTATTGTTTTCTATTCTACACTTTCTGAGTTACTTTATGCGTGCTGGTTATGAAAATCAAGGTGCTGATCTGTGAAACTTTTCTTTTTGTCAGGATATGCATTATGCAGGGTTTTATAGAGTATGAACCATTGGTTTTATCTTTTATCTTTTTACTTTTTCCACCTTTCTCGGTTGTATGATTTTTAGTGTATTGGTTTTTGCATTTTTTTAATCTTCAATGTGCTGTTCGGATTTCAAGCATCTCTTCACTTTATGTATCACATTGCTTTTGGGACTACTACAAGTGAGCTTAACCTTTTTCCAGCATTCTTTTTTTCTTGTCTGTCACAGAACATACATTCAATATTTTTTCAGTTGCAGTAAACTCATCACATCTTCCATATACTATCTTTTTAAATCATGGGAGTAGGATGGTACCATATCTTTATCAACATTTCTTGTTCCATGTGACAGCTGTACACATGTTTCATTCACTTCTTGGATATCTTATGCATTTTTTAAGTTTAGCTTTTCTGTTACAACAATCATTATATGTTGACGTGTTGGTGTTTAATAGTAGGGATTTTCTGTTACAGCACTCATTCCCTTTTATTTTAAATGTAAGTTAAGTCTCATTAGGAGTTGGATCAAAGTCAACTTTCCTTAAGAGAATCATGTATATATCAATTTTGTAGTTGGTATGATATGTACATGCACTTTTTATTTTTTTTAATGGTTTAGGTAAGATAGGCAAACTAACCACGTGGCTTCGGAAATTCATGCGCCTTTTGGTTGTCACTTTTGTCTTTTATTAACTTTTTGTTTTGTAATAACCTTACAATTTAAAAAAAAAAAAAAGGAAGAAGATAAATTAAATGATTTTTTTTTTTTCAATAAATATTTTATTTTATTGTTTTAAATATATAATAAATAGGGAGTAATGATTTAGTGGGAACTATGGTAATTTGTTACTTGGAGGTAGGAGGTTTGAATCTTACCTATATTAGAGAAAATTTCATTTTTGTTGGCATCGAATGAAGTTACCAAAATACCCTTACCTCTTGTGTAATTTTAGAAAATATCTATAGGGTTTCTTGTAATTTTCCCTAATAAACATTATCTCTTTAAATTTCTTTCCCTAGTCGGTCAAGAACAGAGTACGAGGGGAGAGAGGGAGAGAAATTCTGGGTCTAGAAATTTTGAGCTTCTCTGTCTTCTCCATCGGTCTTCCTCATCCTTCCTTCTCCAATGTTCTTCCCGTGTCACCGGCGATCGTGGATGCTCAGCACTGCCTTGCAAAAATGCCCAGGTTCTCCATGATTCTTCTTATCTCTGTTTTGTTTTTCCTTGCTGTATCTACGTCGTCGGTGTGCGTAAAAGGCTAAGTTTCTGGAGGCTGTGGACGGTTGGAAACGTCCTTCTTGTTCTTTTTCTGTCAGTGTGTCTCTGTAGGTGCTGCCATTAGCGAGTCCTTCTTCATGCTCTCTGCCTCTGTTCCTTTTTTTTTCGTGCTGCTGTTCTATCTTGCTGTGCACATCTGGGTCGTTGGCTAATGGAAGAAATCAGGTCGCTGGAGTGGGTGTACTGATCGCCAATCTGAATCAGCGCTGAGTTCCTTTTTCTTCTGTGAGTGATGCTCTATTTTCCTTCTTTTTGGTTCAGACAAAAATCTTATCTTCTCTTCCTATTCGGTTGACAGCCTCTTAGTTTCTTCCTCCTTCATTTTGTTCGTTTGTGGTTGGGAAGTGAAGGAAGAGCTAATATGGTGCTGTGGAAGGATTAATTCGTGGGTTGAGGCAGAAATATTGCTATATTCTTCTTCCCCTGTTCAGTTGTGGATTCATTTTTCTTCCTCCCTCTGTGTGTGTGCACTGTCGGCTAACTAAGGTGAGAACTCTTCAGCTTTCTTCCTTGATGAACTTGCGTGAGAGGAAGTGTGAGTTGATATTGAAATTACAGAATTTTTTTTTAGAGTATTCTACTGCTGTTGCTCGTGCTGTTGTGGGAGCTAGAAAGTGATTTCCAAAGCTTTATTATATATATATATATATATACACATATATATATGGGTCTGGATTCTAATCTAAATTAAATTTTGTTAGATTGGTTGATATTGAGAATTTGACTAGAATGAGAATTAATAAGAAATTAATTTGGAATTATAAATTAAGATTTGATGTTTACAAGTTGTTAGATGAAATGTCTGTTAGGTGGAGTCTACTTGAATATGTATTTTTTTGAATGTTTACTAAAAATTTTTTTAGCATACTTGGTATAGGTTATTGATGTATTAACTTGAGATTTGAGGAAGAATTGATTATCTAAGCTCTTGAGAGTCTAATGGTTGATACTTACAAACCTTAGTGTTGTTGAATTATTTAATCTTGATATGCATGAAAGATGTTCGATGACTTGAGAGAGTAAATGTGGGGGTGTGTGTGTGTATTTAGATATGTTTATATGCAACCTGATTAATGTTTGGTTACATAATTTAAAGAATGGTTGGGAAAACAAATTAAGATATAAGCAATTTGTTGGATGGGAAGTAGGCATGTAAAGTATTAAAAGGATGGAAGAAATTAAGATTTGGTTGATTAAATTATAATGATTTGAAGTCAATTCACTATAGTGTTTTCAATATTAGAAAATAACTTATTTAACTAAAGTAAGTCCATTAAATCTTTCTTTATATTGAATAGGATGCTAAGAGAAAGGAGGAGTTGATTGAAGTTCTAAGAAATGAATTTTGATGCTCGGGCATATTATAGGTAAGTGGATAGCGTCCCAACTGCTTTATCATAAAATTAGTTTCTGAAATATTATATTTATGCAAATCATTTTAATGACAATTATGTTAAGTATTGAATATTTTGTCATTTAAATTCTTATTTTGGGAAATTATAAAGAAGTTTTGAAAGATAATTGAGTTATGGTATGCGTATGTTTTTTTTTATAATGAATACTTTTAAAAAATTGATGAGATTATTTTTTTATCAACCCTGGTTATTCTGAGTTATGCAATAAATGTCAAATATGGACTTCAGATATGAAATTTTATCGTGGCATGTTTTAATGCTCAAAAGTATTCATGCGAGTTTGATTTTGAGAATGAAAACTGTATCTTGAACATGATGATTTTCTCGCATGTTTGAAAATGGTTTTAAAAAGGGACTTTATACGGAACACTGGTTGCTAACGGTAGTTCCGTTAGCCCTTGATGCGCCATGGTACACCTAGCTAGCAGGTTGTTTATAGGAGGTGCTAGCCCCGTGCGATGGCCAACGCATGTGGAACGGAGGGATGGTTATTCGTGAGCATTGTACTCACGTTTGATTTCGTGGCTTTGAGCTGCGTTTGGTTAGTATTACCCTCGTGGACTGGGTGTCCACGTTTGTTTCGTGGTTTCGGCTGCGTTTGGTGATTTACCCTCGTGGATTGTGTGTCCACGTTTGTCTTCGTGGCACAAGCCGCGTTTGGATTATTTACCTTCGTGGACTGTGTGTCCACGTTTAATAATTGTTCTGATAAGTCCCTATGGTTATGAATCTGATTATTTGGTGATTTGATATCCCATTGGTTTTTATTGAGTAATTTATTTACAAGTATTTATTTCCGTTATGAGACTTCTTAAAATCAAGTGAAATTAACATTTGATATGATAGTTCAATAATTTGAGATTTTATTTGAAATTTACAGAGCCATTTTATTGTGAAGTTTATTAAATTTTTATAAAGATTTTGTCTATTTAACTTACACAACTATTTCAAACTTTTCATTTTATTCATGTGAAATTATTTATTGTTGGGACGTTATTCACTGAAAAATTATTTTGGTCTCAGATAGCATAATTGACGCTGTACGTCTTACTTGCCAATGATGGATGTTTTCGGAGTGGAGGCTTGCTTTGTAAACATGTCTTATTGATGTAAATATGAAATTTATGTATTATGTCATGAGATATATGATTAGGTGCTCCACATAACTTATAATTAAAATCCTTAGTTTATTATACATTTGGTCTGCTGGCTTGAAGGAGCCGAGTTCTTGATAGATATAATGTTTGAGGAAAATTTTTATGATACAGAATTTTTAGTAGATCTTATTTACAGAGATGGTTCTATTAAAATTTTTACGAGATGTTGAAATAATTAGTAGTAATAGTATTAAAATGTTAGTGAATAATTGAGTACTTTTTTGTAATTAAATGAAATAAACCTTGAATTTGTGGCTTACGGGATGTATGTGTGGTTCGCATCCTGTGCCGGTCACCTCCTATTTTGGGGTGTGACATGTTTTATGCTATTAATCGAATCTAAGTTGTAAAATTTTTATTGTTTTGTCAGGAGATCTTTCCTTCTTTTTCTATTTACTGTTTCTTTATCAGTTTTGCACCACCTTTTCACATTTTGCTGCTGTTACCATACTTTAGCAGCAACTATGGAATTGTATGGTTTATGATGATTTTTGATCTGTCATATAGTATATCTTTATTTTTCATTTTCCATCTCTTTATTAGATTTGCACCAGCTTTACATATTTTTCTGTCGTTGCCCTACTTTAATAGCAATTATGGTCTTGTAGAAGTTATGAAAATTTTTTGTTCTGTCATTTAGTAAAGCTGAAGTCATGGTGTTGTAGTTCTTAAGGTGTATCATTTGTTAAGTTTTCACTGCATAACAGGTATAGGTCATCAGACATCAGTTCCTTTTTCTTTCGCTGCACTGATTGATTTTTTGTTTTAGCAAAATAGTTTAGGTGCTTTTAATAGTGCCTTTTGTCTTAGATCATGTCAAGTACATTGATGTCGTCCTACAAGTTCCTTAAATGAATTATCTAATTACTTAGTCTAATGACTGCTCATATTACTTATATGCTATGCAATTAATGTCAAATAGTGGAAAAAATCAGGTGAAAGAGGAATAACTATACCAGAGATATCATAGAGCTGTTCAATTCATTTTATGAGTATTAGTTAAACTTTTTAGTGCTGCTGCTCAAATTTATTCATTTAATCTTAGGGATGATTGTTGAACTCTCAATTTAATATTATTATCTGAACTAATTAAAATTATAGGTTTTTTTTGCAGGAAAATGTTATATATTCATTTTATCGAGGATAATATACACCATCATCGCATGTTGTAGGTATTGGAGTTGTACTATTTTTACCTTTTGATTTATGTTTTATTTCGTTGAGTAATTGTGCTTATCAATAAATTTTTATTTGTTTCTTAGCCATGTCTATATTTTGGACACCAATAAATGATGTTATGCTATTATTTTTTTGTAGGATAGCTTCTACTTTTTTATAAGAAGACTCATAGTATCATCATGATATGTTTTAGGTATCAAAGGTTGAGTGATATCTTATAAAGTCATCTCGCTGAGTTTTATGCGTTAGTTTGCTTTTCAAGAAATATATCATGACTTCTTGCTGAAACATTTTGCACCATGGTGTTGGTATTGAAGCTCTTCTGTATTTTTGTTAAATTTTACCTCGAGTTTTCAAATTTAGTAAGCTTCTCGAGAAATATTTCACTGTCTTTCAGCCATGTCTATATTTTGCTGATATGTTTCTGATGCGATGCCATTGATTTTTCGGAGGATATCTTCTGATATTGTTTGCAAGTAAAGTCATAGTATCGTCATACGGTATGTTTTAGATTTAAGAGGGAAGGTGTTATCCGATGGTGTGATCTTGCTGAGTTGTATGCCTTGGTTAGCTTCTCGAAAAATATATCATGCTATTAATGCTTAACGATTTTGCTGGATGGTTGTGATATTGTAGCTGACTCTACCCTCTTCCTTCATCTCTGGGATGTATGGATCTCATGTTACAATGGCATACTAATATTAAAAAAATAGGTGAAAAATGAGTTAGGGTAACTTTATTATTTACCATGATAAAATGGAAGAAAATTTAGATGAAAATGGTTTGAAAATTAATTAAATAAAGCTAAAGGTAATGGGAAATTAAGAGAGAGAGAGTGAGTAGATTCAAAGTGTGATACAATGTGTGCAAGACCATATAAGATTGTACTTTACCCCAAAACTCAAGTGCTTTGTCAAAAAAATGTGAGACACAAGATTAAAGTTCAAAGCATATGAATAATAGTTTACATTTTCAAATAAAATTAACTTCTAAATATGTGGCACAACGCAAATCAAATAATAAAAATCAATTTTGACATCATAAAAGAGGTTAGGGGCATACTATATAGCCTAAAAATTATAAGTCCACACATGCACAAAAATAACCTAGTTCAAGTGTAAGAAAATAAGTTTACCCAAAGTTTTAACTTTCCAAAACAGTCAACTTATGAAGTTAATTACTTTCAATATAAAAAGAGTTTGAGAAATATAACTAGACCATTGTGCATTTGAACTAAAAATGTAGCTTGAATAATTTTCTAAAACATTTTCTCAAAAGTCCAATTTTATGACCAAAATACCTCTAATGCACAAAATCATATATTTAGGAGATTTTTCACAATTAATGCAATAAGTGTGCAATTTGGGTAAATATAACATGATTTTTGGTCAATAATAATAAGGAAAAGTGTATAATAAATGTGACTTATTAGCATTCCAGTTACCTAACTTCCTTTCCTTAATCCCTATAAACTTTGTCAGAGGAAACTCTTTCACTTATGGAATCAAATCTTTAATTCACATAGACTGTCCCCAAACAAAAAAGATAATCTAGACTTCTGGTTTAGATGAGTGTGGTATTCTTACCACAACTACTAAACCCTACATCACTCTTGAAATAGCCCAACCCTTGATTGGTAGTTGAATCAACCAAGGTTATACTCACGTCCATGTTGGAGTTGTTCTCCTTATCCTAACATTTCATGGGAGAAAAGCTATAGTAGCCATAGTTGAGGTTGCTTTGTTAGCTACCACTTTTAAGTCATATGGCAATGCCTTAATTGGTACCATTTTGACTATGCTAAACTAAGAAAGTGTGGTTCTTAATATAGCACCTGACTTTACACCTGACTTTAATGTCAAGCTTACTGATCCCATACACTCTACAAGATTCAAGGTTTAGGCCATGTTTGGTATGGAAGAATCATCCAAAAAGAATCAGAAATGGAAATGGAATCCTGAGGAAGACAAGTTTGGTACATTTGAATTGTGATTCTTGGGAATCTAGATTCAAGGAAATTTCTCTGAATTGGATTCCATCATAATGAAGATAGAATCGGTCAGATTCCATGGAATTAATCTTTTTCAAACCACCATGCCCTCTAGCTTATCTCTGCCCTTTTTTTCTTGTTTTGTTCGCTCTAAAATCTTCCTCTACTAACATCGGTGTCGTCTACCCCAGAAACGATGGAGTTTCTTCAAACAGTAATAAGTATTCTAGTTCTGACATTGAGAAATCGAGCAGCTGCTCCCAATCTAGCATATCGAATCCAAAGTAATCCTCGTTTGGCATGTCGAACCTAAAGTAATCCTCCTTCTCTCGATTCGCCTTCACGCTCTTAAAATACATCTTCCACTTCAGCCGCCTCTACCTTGCTTTCTTCTCTAATTCTATGCCCTCTGCGCTTGGTCTCTTCACTGCAATTGCTTTGAATTGCAGAACTGACATGGGAGATGGTAGATGGTGTGATTTGTTGTCAGAATCATAGCCGGAGTCGGACACTTCTGACTTTACCACCACATTTATTTTCATCTTCACCACCACCTCTGTTTCATCTGGCTTTTCTCTTGGCGAAGGGGTCATGAAGTTTGTTAACGCGTTTGGTCTACGTATCTTAATCACTGCATTATCATAAACCATAACCTTGAAGCACCCAACTCTAGTGATAAAGGCGAAGGTAACTTGCAGGGACTTAGCAGTCGTGGACAAGGCCCAAGTAGTTGAGGCAGGTGTCATCGTCTATCATGGCAACGTTCACCCAAGTCTGGGCATCTCTCGTCTACATGCGGGATGTGGAATTGTAAAGGTACTTGAGCTCATGAGGCTCTGGGCACCGGCTACCGCCCACGACGTCTCTCCCCCCTCTCTCTCCATGGCATCTCTCTCCATACAGCTGAACTGTCAAGGTCGTGGGTAGTGGAGGAGAGAGTGTGGTGGGACTTTTTTCTAGCAAGGGGTATTTTGGTATTTTTATTATTTTAAATACATATAATTATTAAAATTATATCAGATTCCATACTTATACCAAACAAACTTTTATAACCCAATTCAATTCCAATTCTGACTTCGATTCCAATTCTAATTTCATTAAAAACTCTTCCATCATATCAAACGAGGCCTTAGATCCAAATCTATAGAGTTGAACAACAATCTAATGCTATTATGGCTACCTTACATCACCAAATGATCTTTATACTTCAAAATCATTCATTTAACCTTAACTTTCCTAATACAATTGGAGATACTTTATGTATGGTTGCAAATAATCCAGGAGATGCATCAATCCTCTAAATCCCAGGTAGTTACCTACTAAGCAGTTAGCTTATATGATGCTACTAGAATGGATCAACAATTATGAAAAATAGGTCAACAGTGTCCAAAAGATATTCATACTACAAAACCTCTTACGCTTTATAAGCTACAGGATGGTACTATAAAATCTATTTTTAGGAAACCTAAACTCAGAATTTAAATCAAATATCGAAAAGAACATTATCTATCTCCCCAACCTTTGTTGGAGACAAAAACGATCCTCTTATTGAGTAGTTTACTGTAGATTCCAAACCTGTCTATATCTCACACATCAATAGTCACTTTATCTGTGATTGTGCCCCAGAAATCTATGATCCCAATAGTTGTGACTGTTATCTTTAAAATGATTCCGATGAAGATGATCATAGTTCCAAAAGAAGGACTAGAAAGCTAAAGTATCCTAAATCCCCATGTAGAAATAAATACCATCCAAAGGATGATGATGATGAACATGGCCTTAAAACAAGCCACAATGAGAAACTGGTAGGATTTTCAAATCCTCCCACAAAAAGAAGCACTCTCTTTGAACCCCTTAAAGAACTCGACCATGAACATCTTCTTTCACTAGAGAAACCAAAATCAATCCTTTCACAACATCCAGAATTGATTATCCTAATAATCCCACTTGCATAAGTACAAGCTTTACCTTATATAGCTATGATGAGACCTTATAAGGAAATTTAATCCTCTTGAAAGAAAGAAAATGAAAGGATAAAGGTAATTAGCAAACTTTTATCCCACAAATAGAAGTAACTCCTTAGGCACCCTTAAGCTTGTCACACTAGCAGAAGAAGTTCTCAACTGGCAGTCATAAAATGCTGTCAGCCAAAACTAAATCCTCTACAAGATAGATTCAGAGCTTGATCATCTAGCTATACAAAAGAAACTTGTCTTTATAGGTTAATCAAATTAATGACTAAATAAAGAATCTATATCAAAGGCTTATAAACAAGAACAAAAGTTGGATGCAGAACTTTGCAGGTTTATTGAACAAGGTTATACTGGACCAGAGTACTTCAAGAAAGAAAGATTTTTGAAGTGAAAAACAATTACAATAGATAGAAGCAGATTTAGCCCAATCAATCCAAGACTACCTATGAGTCCCTATCCAACCTACCCCACCTTGACTAGACAATTCCTAACTTATACGTCCATACACTTGATTTATCCTAGTGAGACTAATTACAATCAAGTATTCAAAATGAATTATCCTATCCTCAGAAAAGCCCAGAAACAACTAGTCCAAAAACCAAAGTACTTGTACCATACTCTGAAAAATCACTAGTTTATCAAAAGCCTTAAGATTATCAAGCCGTCCTATTTTTCACTAACATCCCAAAAAACCTTTGACCATTAGAACACCTCTTTCTTTAACACTGAAATCCAAGCCACCATCAACAACTGAAAAACTCAAAGGGATTGAAGATCCCTCAATCTTCTAGGCACTATTACTTCCATTAGAAATGTCGTATTTAATCAGGTCTTCTCTAAACAAGAAGATATAGATTATGAGACTTTAATTGAAATCTCTATAAAAAAACAGACTCTAAAGAAGATCAGCATGGTTGACTTGTCAAGATTACAATGGTACAGCCTCCTCCTCAGAGACCTCCTCCATAATTACAAACAGACTCAAAATAAAGCTCATACTAAAACTATTGTTAAAGATCCTCCTGATGATGAGTTAGGATCATGGAAGGAAATACCAGCAGAACCAGTCATTCATGCTTTTAGCTCCAAACATACTTCTGGTCCCTGGTTTACTTTTGATGACTTACCTTTACATAGGTAGAGAGAAAGACTTCAAGAATTTAATGCTTGGATTGACTTGCAAATAATTAGGCCAGATGGGATGATGAGAGAAGTGCTCTTAGAGTTTCTTTCAAGGATAACTAGACATTTGAGAGAATGTTCCAAAATTTAAGTGAATATGACAAAATTTGAGCATCTCGAGTTGATGCTTTTACATTCCTTAGTACAATTCGCAAATAATTTATGGAGACTTTAACCTTATGGATAGAAGAAGCAAAC